ACAATCACACTGATTTCTTCTAAATGCCCATCATCTCCACCAGTACTGTGTCCCATAGGAAAAACTGAATCTCTAAGACATGCTACTGGCCCCGGCTTGCAGGAGAGCAACCCATCAGGGAGTGACTCACCAATATGTCCTCAGAGCCACCGCTGCCCAGCAGGTCTGTCAAATTCTTCTCCATAATCCAGCACTGTGTCTGAAAGAGTGCAAAAAAACTGCCTTTATATCATGTAGTTTTAAGAAGCAGGCATACTTTTGTGTATATAGGCTGGCAATATTTACCTTAGCTTATGCTGCAATGCCAAGTCACAGGTAAGGTCCTTAATGTAGCAGTGCACAGTCCTAAAATAGCTTTTCCTCAGTATGACCTGTGTTACATTAAAGATGTATGAAACCCCAAGCCAGTGAGTTCAGCCTCTGTACTTAACACCTACAGAACGGAAACGTCAGCTTTATCTTCTGTGTGATCACAAAGTTTTCATTTTGACACTTACATTCTCCAGTGGAAGAGATCTGCAATTTTCTCCATGTCTTTGAAGTGTTCCTGTCTCCCACCTGCATGTCCTGCACTTGCTGTCCCTGCTCTGCAGTTCCAGTGTCTAGGAGAGAGATAGTAATGCTGTCTCTGCCCTACTCAAAGGACTTTTGGTGAAGATGGCTGAGGGGGATGGTCCAATGCTGCCAATAGCCAGCGATGGCAAAGAGCCCCGTGTTTGCTTTAACACTTCATTTTTCCTTGGAAGGCACCTTCCCCTGCACCCACGCAAGCACAGACAGGAATACCTAAAGGAAATTATCACAGAATCATAGCCATTTAGTTTGGAAAAGACATTTAAGATCATTGAGTCCAACCGTAATCCTAACAGTGCCAAGTACATTTGAACCTTTCTTCCCAGAACACGCAAGCTGCAGGGTGCTCTCACAGACTAACACTGAAATAAAGCCCTGAACAGCCCTGAATTGCCACCAACTCTACCACATACCTACTGTGACTTCATCCAGATCCAACACAGCTTCCATCCCACAGCTGGCTCCGATCTTCCCCACAACACAAGATACAGGGGAAAGAGCAGCCCTACTGAGCAACAGGCAACATTTGAAGTGTGTGTTATCTCCTTAAATACTGCTGCTCCTCACTAGAGCTTGGTACATCACTGAAATTCAGGCAAGTCCTGTTGCATTAATAAACAGACGAGACTCAGTTTCCTCAAGCAGAAAAAGCCAATTATTTACTCACATAACTCATTTTTTTTACAGTTTTCACAAACCTTGTGTTCAACTCAAATTGGCTACTTACTAGTTTTCTTACCACTCAATTAATTGGTTAATAACTGGCATTTTACCTTTCCATCAAATCTCTCTATTCTTGGATTGTTTAAATATTTTCTTCACTGATTCTCATGGGACAGATCTATTGTTTATGCAGGTGCAAACTCATTTTTCTTCCTAGAATTGGTTGTTGTGCTAACTGTCTTCATTCTTATGACTTTTCCTTATGGGAACTTACAAGCTGCTGCTAGCTTAACTAGAGTAGCAGGGCCTAAACCATATTTAATAAGACCTTTCTTTTATAATATTTCTACCTGTCTACAACAAGTCACATGATCTTTTTGTTAGTTTTTGAACAAACAGCACCTCATTGGGCATCAGTCCATAGATGTGCTGCTAGAATTTCCATATGGAATGGTCTGTTGTCTTTCTCAAACCCTTTGGATGTCCACCTTCACTCACCATCACTCCAAAGGCAGAGGGATAAATTTCTGTGAAACAAGAAAATCTGCAACTATTGCATGTGTAGCAGTGGATGTCTTTCCTCGGCCGTGGTGGGCAGTGTGACATTAGGTCAAAGTTTTACATGTGAGTCAAGCCATGACAGCCAAGCTCTGCTGGGTACTAACGCTTACAAAACCTGAAACTAGGAATTAAAACCAGAAACAAACTCTTCTCTTACAGGCAGCGTTACTGGCTGCTGCTGGCAGTGTTGATGCTTGATCTCCACTGACCTTATGCAGGTTTAAAATGGCACTCACAACTCTGTTGGTGCTAAAGCGACAAAGAATATAACCAAGAATTATTCAGTGTGGAAAAGATGTGTCAACCAAATGGCAATTTGGCAGTTTCGTGCCTCTCATCTTTCATCCCCTAAATAGAGATGACGGGCTATTAGAGTACCAGGACAGCGACATGAAGGGACGCGGCTCCCTCTGCTGGGCATTCCTGCAGAATTGAGGCACATCCCTGCAGAGATGTGGGAGATCAGCAGTGCTATTTCACCTCTTCGTTCATCGTGAGGCTTATTTTAAGGAAGAAAACGCTTCCACAGCAAGATTAGAACCTGGAGACCGCTGTTGCTGCCACGGTTTAATGCTGGATGAGCTCCTTCCTGGGATGCATGCCATTTGGCCAATATTGTTTTGCTTCAGAAAACTACAAAAATGTCAACTGTTGATCTATTCAAAGATAGGGAGGGAGAGGATGTAGCCACACCATCCCCAGTTCCATATAGAAACATTTCAAATGCATCACTTGAGTTTGTCTGCCTTATTAGAGTTAAGCTTACTCCTCTAAACAACCTACTTACCCAGTCCCATCCAGAACAGCCAGAAACATGCCAAAAGGAACAGTCAAAGGGGCTTTTTTAAATTGACACATATATCCCAGACAGCTTCCTTATATAATCCATTGTATAACAGATACACTGGGTTTGCAAGGTAAGGTTTTGGTAACAAGGAGGCTGCAGGGCTGCCTGATGAGGGAAGATGCCAGAATCTTCCCCTGTGGTGGTAGTAGCCAGTTCCAGCTGTGATAGATGAGTAATGCGATGATTGACTCTCACAATTAATAGACAAATATCATGTATACAGGTTAAGAAAAGTTTATAGATTTATAGTTTTGTTGTACCCCCTCTCGTGGTTATCAAGGGACAATGGGAGTTAGCACATCTGGGAGAGCTGGCTTGGCACTATGGCGACATCTGACCTCCATCTGGATTTGAGGAAGAGATCTCCACCACTGGACAGTGAAGAAGGGGTGGATGGGCAGAACTTTGGGAGGGGTTAAAGGGTTAAAAAGGGAAAAACCTCCATTGTGAGGGTGCTGAGCACATGGCGGGGAAAATCTTTTGCTCCCAGCGCTGTAACCTTTTTTCTTTATTCAGTCTTCATTTGTATTTTTGATAAGGTCTAATAAACCTTCCTAAACTATGAAAAGTGAGTAGCTATTTCTCACACAGCTGGCTCCAAGATGGCCCTGCTGCTGGTCAAAGCTGAGGCCATTGGTGATATTGGTAGTGCCTCTGTGATTCAGAAACACTGTGCAGCAGCATCTGTGAGAGAGGGAGAACATGTGAGAGAAATGCCCTGCAGAGCCCACAGTAGTGAAGATGGAGGGGAAGGAGGAGCTCCAGGCAAGCGGAGCAGAGATTCCCATGCAGATGCGAGGCAGGGAAAGAAGCACTAGGAGGGAAGGGGACAAGCTGATCTTCTTTTCCATGAGTCAGCAGACAAAGTTAGTTAATGAAATAAAAGGCAGTCACTCACTCAAGAAGGGAAGCGCTTAACAAGAGAGGAGCTTGCTGAAAGGAAGAGGGAGGCTATAAGGAAGTGCTTTTGCTAGCCTGTGTGTTACATTTTCTCAGAAAAACGTGTTCTCTCTTTCTTCAGGGGCTGCCACAAGGCAAAGTGAGCCCAGGAGAGGAAGTAGTTTGTGCATAATGGCTACTGCTGCACACAGGGTTTTCCTTCTAGGAACACCTAGAGCATGACGTTCTGGACGTGTCATTCCTTACTTGGCCAAGGCACAGCAAACAGGCAATTCTTAGAAAAGCAGCTTCCAAAGCCATAACTTGCTCCTCCCAGCACCTCCAGTTTTGTTGTTGATAAGCAGTGTCTGGCTCTGCAGGCACAGCAAAGCCACAGTCTCAGGGCTGGCACAGGTCTAATACTGAAACTCTTCATTTTGGTGCCTCACTTCTTCAATGCTCTGGAAAGCCAGCCTTCCTGTGCTCTTAGCCCAGGATGTGGATGAGCAAGTGGAAACACTAGCAACAGCGGTAAGGACGCATCTCAGGTTTCTGAACAACGTGGTATCCATAGGAAGCTGGTTTGTTTTGTGGGGAAGTGGGAGGTGTGAACTGAGGGAAGACATGAAAGCTGTCATTATGAACTGACCCCACTGCCCATGTGTGACAGAGTGTGCTGGGGCTCTGGATACAGCACAGAGCGCTGGAATATATAGTACAGTTGCTGGAACTGAGTAAATTCTGGTGACCCCAACTTCAGGCCATGGATGAGGCCACAAAGTTGATCAGAGGACTGGAGTACCTGCTCTATGGAGACAGGCTGAGCACTGGGGCTGCTCAGCTTGGAGAAGAAAGGGTTCTGTAGAGATCTCACAGAAGCCTTCCAGTATCTGGAGGAGGCCAGAGAAGGAGTCTTCATCAGGAACTGCAGCGATAGGATGGGGAGTAATGGGTATGAATTGAAAGAGAGGAAATTTAGGTTAGATATTAGGAAGAATTTATTTTTTTTTCTGTGAGGGTGACGAGACACTGGAATAGGCTACCCAGAGAAGCTGTCGATGCCCCATGCCTGGCAGTGTTCAAAGCCACACTGGATGGAGCCTTGAGCAGTGTGGTCTAGCGGGAGGCGTCCCTTCCCGTGGCACAGGGGCTGGAAATAGAGGAACTTCAAAGATCCACTTCAGCCCCTTTCCGTTCTACGATTCTATGCAGACCGTCCAAAAGCCGTGACAAACCCGCGATGCGGGGGCAGAGGCCGGCTGGGGCCGGCAGGCCGCTGCTCTCCCCGGGCCGAGGCACAGCGAGGCCTGGGCGGGCGAAGGGCTCCGGGAGCCGCATGCGCCGGGCGGGGCGGTGCTGCGGGCGGGGCCGGCTCGGGGCTCAGCGGGGCCGGGCCTCGCCGCTGCCCGCCGCGCTCTGGGGCAGCGGGCGGCGCTGGGATGCCGGGCCGGGAGGCGGAGGTACGGCTGCGCCGGGCCGGGTCGCCGCGCCGGGCCCTGCTCGCTCTCTCGCTCTGCCGAGAGCCCGGGGGCAGCGCCCCGGTGGGACGCGAGCGGGGCTCGCTGCGCCCCCTGCGCTGCTGCGTTCCGCGGCCTCGGGGCAGCGGGGGGACGGGGGGATGGGTCCAGCCCCGTCCCGGGCGGACCTCGGGGCACCATTGCTGGCTCGGAGTGTGCCCCACTCTGTTTCTGATCTGTCCCTGCTTTCTAGGCTGCCGTGATTAATGAAGAAACTCGTTCTTCATTAGCAAACACCGTTATATGTTTATAATAATTCAAACCCTCTATAAACACCTAAAAACCTTCACGCTGCCGTGGCTTTGTGCCTCCTGCGGTATTATTTCCCGAGAGGTGCCGGGCGGCAGCCGCTGTGGGTAGCAAAGGCAGCCTCAGCTGAGCAGGCCGTGCAGTGCTTTTGGGTGCATTTGGGCCGGGCTTGGGTCTGCGCAGTGCCCGTGGCAGCAGGGGGACCGTGGGGTGCAGGGTGGGAAGGAAGGGTTGTGCCATTCTTAATTAAATGGACATTTAAAGTTTTGTTCTTCCTCTTTCAGATGCATCCAGTCCTAAAGGCCTTTGTGTGCGGCTCCATCAGTGGCACTTGTTCCACGCTCCTCTTCCAGCCCCTTGACCTGCTGAAAACTCGCCTGCAAACTCTGCAGCCTGCTGTGAATGGGTGAGAGGAGGGGGATGTGTCTGCGTGGGGGGCCTGGAGGTGCTCTGCCATAGGCTTCTGCCTTATTTATTGCTTGGAGTTGTAATCTGGGAAATCAGTCTTTGTAAAAGAGGAGGTATATTTTTATATTACAGAGAAGCATTTCTATTACAGAAAAATGTCTGTGAGTGGTTCTGAATGCCACTGGAATAACTTGTAACCTCAACATTTGTTCTCATCTGAGAGACTGGTGTTTGCTGGAGTGGCTACCATGCAGTTTCATGGGGTATCCTCTTCCTGAAAAAAAAATCCTGTGTGGTTGTCATGTAATTTTTCATGCATACAGCTTGGTGTAGTCAGCCTACAATTTGCTGCTGCTAACAAAGGGAGTGAGCAACTGAAAATGCTAATGGGTATTACAAGTTGTGAGATACAGAAGGTGATGGATAAGCCCTGGAAAGAGCAACCCAGAAAAGCAGACTGAGATGAAGAAGAGCATCTTAGAGCTGCCAAGTTAATGCACAGATATATGAGTGAAAGGGGTGTCTGTGGAGTACATCTGCCAAGGAGCAGAAGTAGATAATTTCTTCAGTTCTTGTCTTGTCTTTCTTTCAGGTCTGGTCGTGCTGGGATGGTAACACTGCTCTTTAGGGTTGTTCGTACTGAGAGTATTCTGGGGCTCTGGAAAGGTGTCTCTCCAGTAAGTGGCTGGTCTAATTCTGGCTTGTAAAAATAAGTAAATAAATAAGCTTACTGTTTTTTGCTAATTATGTCTGCCTAAATTTAAATAGCCAATTCTTGTACAATTATGAATGAAACCACATGATTTAGATTACATCCTATTTTAAAGGGTTAATGTTGTGAATTTCACTGATCTGGTTGTGGCAGTCCTGAGCAGCTGAATGCAAATGTGGTGTGGCAACTGCAAGACCATTTGGTTTGCATTTTGGTTTGGAATATGCTGTAACTAGAAAACTGACATTGAGGAATGCAGTAAATCCTGGCATCATTTGAATAATTTGTCTGTCAGTGCCATAAATGATTTCTACCTTATCTTCTTTCCTCAGCATGTTAGCTTTAGTGATGTTTTTGTCTTCTACAAAGCTTCCTGTCAAGTTGAACAGTCTCAGAAATGTTCTTAGTGTATTTTGTCTTATGTAAGCTTTTTCTTTCTTCATCTGCTTCTGCTTCTCCTGAAGTCTTTTGCAAGATGTATTCCTGGGGTTGGAATTTACTTCAGCACTTTGTACGTGATGAAGCAAAAGTTTCTTGTGGACCGTTCACCCACAGCTGTGGAGTCTGTCTTCCTGGGTGCTGCTGCTCGTGCAGTTTCTGGGATTTGCATGTTGCCAGTGACTGTAGTGAAGACCCGATATGAGGTATGACTTTCCAATTAGTCCCCTGTTCATGGTGTCACACACCTTCCTTGAGTTGCAAAATATAAATCCTTCTGCCTGGAGAAGGTTGCTGCCACTTGGGTACCCTTCTGCCTGGAGAAGGTTGCTGCCACTTGAATACCGCCAGGAATGTAGTCCTGATTTCACCTCAGTTCACACATTGTGGAGGAAATTATATTTAGGCAAGAAGATGAAATAGAATTTGCCCTAAGATTTGAGGTTGCTGCCACTTGGGTACCCCCAGGAATGTAGTCCTGATTTCCCCTCAGTTCACACATTGTGCAGGAAATTATATTTAGGCAAGAAGATTAAATAGAATTTGCCCTAAGATTTATAGGTTTCAGTTGTATACAGTATTTGTGTAGCATCTTTCATATGTTACCTCCCTGAAGGATTCTTTTAAAGGCTGAGTTAGGTGAAACCTGGTTTTTGCCTTGGGTTGTCCTCTGTGTTGCCATCCTGGGTATCACATTAAGTTCACACTACCATTTGTTTGGCTATTATATCCTTAGTGTGTGTGTAGAGCTCCTCAACGTGTGCCTGGCATATGGATGACTGACCTTTGTCTGCTCTTGCAGAGTGGAAGATTTGGCTATGGGAGTGTGTATGGAGCCCTGAAGAGCATCTATCAGACTGAGGGGGCTCGTGGCATGTTCAGCGGGCTCACGGCCACGCTGCTGCGGGATGCGCCCTTCTCTGGCATCTACCTGATGTTCTACACACAGACCAAAAACCTCACACCCCAGGGTGAGGCTGAGTGTTGGATGCTGTAGTGGAAAATGTTCCCCTTCTCAGATCTTGCCCTGGAGCTGACAGCCTGCATGCTCTGCTTGTTGCCCTCCACCTCAGAAGTTAAATTAGTCTCCTTTAGGGCTTTGGGTCACTCACTTACATTTGCCTGTGGAGAGCTGTAGACCTAGAGCTGAGGTCAGTGCAGAAATGGAGTCTGGCCCTAAATTGATTGATTGTCTTCATGAAGGCTGACGCATAACTGGGTTAGTGAACAGTTGAAAGACAGGGTGTCTTAAGCACTGCTTGCTGCTTCTGCTTGTCTTGCATAATGCTCAGTTTCCACTAAACCGGGGCTTCTCTGGTATTAAAACTCACTGGGGCAACATTTGTAGAATTTTTTCTTTTCTGATTTTCTGTTGAATTCAGTTCCCCAGCGAATGAGGTTTTTCAATAGTGCTAACTTTTGACTAGTAGCCACTTTTCCCCTTGAAAGGTTTCTTTAGCTGCATGGATTTTAACTTTTCTTAGGTTCTCATGTTGATTTAATCATTCAATAGCTTTCACTTTGTCACACAGCATGAGTGTTCCTGGCCTGAATTGTGTCTGAGTGTGTTCTCTTTGCTCTGTTGCAGACCAGCTGGATCCAGTGCTTGTGCCCTTGCTGAATTTTGGCTGTGGGATCCTTGCAGGGATCTTGGCCTCTTTGGCAACACAGCCTGCTGATGTCATCAAAACACACATGCAGCTGTCACCCCAAAAGTACCACAGGACAAGACAGGCCATTGCCTTTATCTACAAGGTGAGGTGAATCCCTTTTGACATGCACAACCACATCCTCAGTTCTGATCCCCTTGCTCAAAGCACAGGTTTGCTGGGGAAATTGTTGCCTTTTCAAGGAGGTGAACAAGTGTCAGTGCTTTACCTGCTCTTGCAGTTGGACAATTCAGTGTCAGCATTTTCAAGATGATGAAGGGGGTCATGCTGTGGTAGAAGAAGACTGTAGTGTGCAGTGTGAAATGCTGGTTTCAGATACAAACCATCTACAAAATAATTTTTTGCTGTTTAGACATCAGAAGAGAAATAAATGCCCAGGTCTTTATCCCAGGAATGGGATGGAGAAGTAGTCAAAGGCCACAGCTCCTGCTTCCTTCAGTACTTAGAAATCTCAGAATAGCTAAGAGACTTTAATAAATATGAAGCTCTAAAACAAAGACCAGTCATTTTCCTGTAGCATCTGGAGAAGATTACACCCTTCTTTTCTCTTTGTTGGATTTGAATGTGCCTTTCCCTGTCTGTTGTCTCTATCCTGGCCTTCCTTTTTCCCACTCACTGCTCTTCCTGCTTTTCTGGGTAGCCCTGCAATAGTGCAGTGCTACAGGTTCTTCCTAAACACTAAATGCTATTTAAGCCCGGGTCTTTCAGAGACTGATCTGGGTCTGAGCTGAAATACATCCTGTGCTTGTTCCTAGTAATAAATGATGAGAAATTAAAACCCTCTAGGCAGATTGGGATGAATTGCTGTTTATCTCCTGTTGCAGGACTTTGGGCTGGTGGGCTTTTTCCGAGGCGGTGTGCCCCGAGTTCTCAGGCGCACTCTGATGGCAGCAATGGCATGGACGGTGTATGAACAGATGATGGAAAAAATGGGCATGAAATCCTGACTGAGCTGCACAAGAAAGGACCAGCTTCACTCCTTCTCCCGTTTGTTGTGATCAACTGGCACTGAGAAGTTCCCAGTTCCACAGAGGAATAAGCCTTCTTCAGCTCGGAGGAAAGAAGTCCTTCTGAGACAGGGGATTAAGCCTTTTGGCAAGTAGAGGAAAGGAAGGATTGGATCTTTGTGTTGTTTGATCAATGCATTCCAGAAGGACTGCACTTGCAGACTGCTGTGGGAAATGGCAGGGTTTTCACAGCCTGGTAACTATGCTGAGAAGCCCCTTTTGAAAATAACTCTGTGCTCACCACCTTTATGCAATGAGACAGTATTAGAGCAAAAGTGTTTGAGGAGAAAACAGTGATGACAGAACTTGCCGGCTAGCCTGTTCCTTGCTGGTGTGGCCAGAAAACCATCTGATATAGGTCCTCCTTCCTCATATGCTTTATTCTCATAGGGGAACACTAGGCCCTGGTGGGAAACTGGATGTGTCTCATGGTGCGTATATTGCAGAGTGGGTGGAAAGAAATGAAGTGCAGAGGAAAAGCTACAAACATGGTCTCTGCCATCACTTCTGTACTGTGGGTGGTCACAGAGAAAGTAACTGGAACCGCCTTGCTGTGTTGTGTATTATTATGTTATTGAGCACCTTAACACTCTTGAAATGTCCTTCTGCCTCTACAGCAGAGTTTGAGAGTTTGCACAGGAATTAAGAAGCATAAGGCACTTTAGAATTGATTGCTACCAAAGTTCTACTTGTTCTCTGAAAAAAAAAAAAAGCTGCTGGTCTAACTACAGCAGGAACACTCAAGTGGGTTTTGTTGGGTTTTTTTCATGTAGTTGTCATAGAGACTTATTTGTGTCCTGTTCTTTATTTGTTAATCCCTGATCAACATCCTTAGTGTGAAGTGATACTTAGATGTAGCTTTTAGGGCCATGGCTCATAATGCATAAATGTATAATGGAAACAGATATAGATACTGGCACTTCACATTTCCCTTAAAACATCGCTGATTGCATGTGGAGTATGTTTTAGTTTGGAAAGAAAAGGTTGCTATTTCTGTAAGCTTTCTCCAAAGTTTGAGTCCTGTGGGTGCTTGGTAGTGACCTTTAATTCCCTTAGGGCTCCACACAGACCCTTCCCATTTTCCTGGCTGATCCTTTTCTCATGTCAGGTAGTCTATGTTCGAGTATGCCTGAGTTTAATACACTTTTCATCCTCTGTGCCTTCTTACTCTTTCCTGCTGTGTTACTCAGTGTGTGCCAGGTGCAGCCTGATCCCTCCCTTCACTTGTGCCTCTGTGGTGGGTTGGGTCCCTTGCAGCTCTGTTAGCATAGCCATGAAGCTGGCGTGGAAGTGTGCATCCTGTTCATAGTGTGCCTTGCAGAAGACTTAGCTTTGGCTTTTATTTTCTTAAATATCTAGGGATATTGCAATTCACTTTAGAACAAGAGCACCTGTCTCTAAACATGAAGATATGACACTGTAGCTGTATGGACAACCAGTGCTACCTGCTGTTCATAAATTTTAGAATGTATTTTGGAAAATCATTGCCTGCCCAGGCAACTTCCTGGGTGCAAGAACAGAGGGGATGTGGGTTGTTAAAGGTGTTCTTCACCAGATTTCAATTCCAAGAATGCTTGATGACTGATGTAAAAGTTGAGGGAAGTGTAAGAGGACAGGCTAGAGGCTTGGAAAGTGCTGCCTGTTTTCAGACTCAGCCCATCTATGAGGGGAGTCTGGTCCTCTGCAGTGCAGGAGTCTCCAAGAATGGTGGTGGAGGGTTCTGTGTGCACATCTATGTGTTAGCAACAGAGCACTGCATCAAATCAGGCACGGGGCATGTTGTTTGCTAAATCCTAAATGTGAACACCTGTTCGTTCCTTTCTTTTGCTGTTACTTCTGCCCTTAGTGACCAGAACTTGTGAAAGTGCGTGAAACCATGGTAACTGCACACCCTGCTTGTTTGCTATCCCGAGCACTACTGGCACAGAGCTGGGGAACCAAGTCTAGGATTGCTGACCTGGCAGAATAAGGTGGCATTTAGATGAGTTACCTCATTTGTCCTTTATTCCCCTATGTATGGGATCAAACCAGCATTGTGCTGGGAGCCTGAATTTGTTTGATGCTTTATAAATCTGGCATGAGTTGGATCTGTTGAACATCCTGGGCTGTGGCAGCCAAGGGCAGTGTGTGGGGTCACCTGCAAGGTGCTTCACACATATTTAGTTCCTGATTTAGCAATGGCAACGCAATGTGCAACCTGTGCAGACAGAAACTTAAGCTCTTAAAAATGAGGCAAGCAAGCAAAGAATGCAAGGTAATCTGGAATCAAATAAGGTCCTCATCAGAAATCTGAATTTCAAGAACGCTTTGGTGGGTTTTATGTCCCTGTACTTCTGCCTGGTCAAAGGAAGAAGTAGAGAGTTTATTTCCATGTGCTAATGTTTTAAGGTCTACTGTGGGGTTGTTTGTGTTAAATCTGGAATCAGGCCTAAAGCAGTGTTAGCTTTTACTTTGGGAAAGTGTTTCCATTCTGCTTTGGTGCTTTGTTATTGGAGTAAAATGGAAAACTCTATGGTTTTTGGCTTGTGGATTAACCTGGGCTCCTCTGGGTTTAACAAATAGAGAATCTAAACTGCCCTGTGTTTCATCTATCAGAGGTGCTGCAAATCCAAAAGCTTATCTACCTGCAAGTTGGGGAGAATGAATTCTGTGGTGCAAGCTTGTTTGTCTCTCTTTGTTATTTCTTTTGTCAGGTGTCATATAAGGGGGAAGGGAAAGCCTGAAGTTCTGCTTCACTGTTCTGAAAGCTTTTATCACATATCACAGGCATACGACTACTTCTCAGCTCTGATCCTTACCCTGTGGTGCAAGCTTGTTTGTCTCTCTTTGTTATTTCTTTTGTCAGGTGTCATATAAGGGGGAAGGGAAAGCCTGAAGTTCTGCTTCACTCTTTTCTGAAAGCTTTATTACATATTACAGGCATAAGACTATTTCTCAGCTCTGATCCTTACCGTTTTCCCCTCTTCAAAAACATTCTGTTGCTGAAGTGATTTATTGAAGTTGCTCCTTGATAGCTGTAGCTCAAGACAATCGAGTGCATGGACTTGAAGTTTAGATGTATTCCCCTTGAGGTTTAATGCTTCTACTTAACAACAAATTGTCACTGTACAGCCTAAAGGTAAAGTAAATCAAATAAAAGATATGGACAGAGGTGGTTAATCACCTGCCTCCATCATGCCGGCAATTCAACACTAACAATCTTGTCAGATAATAATTTCCAAAGCCATCTTGGCTTGGATTCTGGAGGCTGGGGTGTGCTCCCTCTGTGCACTTCAGGATGGCAGTGGGATCCCTCTTGGGACTGACCTCTGTTGCTGGCAATGCACTGTTAGTGATCGTGCACTGTCTCTGCTTGCCCCTGCAGCTGTGGCTAAGAACACAGCTTGCTGGCATGTTGAGGCAGGCAGTGTTTAAGTGAGTTATAAGGACACAAGAGAAATAGTCTGACTATTCATGCTTTAGAAACTTTGTTTCCACTCCTCCTGCGTGATGATTTGCTTGGTTTTTTTTTTTTTTCTCTCTGTCTTTGAAACAGAACTGGAGCTTTGAAACGTTGCATAGCTTTGAGTATTGTGAGTCTATATAGTATGTGTCTATATAAAATATTTATGTGAAAAAGCGTATATGTTTCTATTAAAAACTGGTTGCTAAAATTAAGGAAGTAATCTCTTCAGTGTTTCTTTTAAAAAACCCAAACAGAGAAACCCCAAACTGATTAAATGCACAAGGGATTGGAGGGAGCAGAGACTTAAGAAAGCAGAAGGAGTTTTCCAAGAGGACAGGACTGTTGCATGTGTTCAGAGCCCATAAGAGGCAAGGAATATTCTCTTTTTCTGTGGTGTATAATATGCACTGTAGTATTTTAGTATAATATATAACATAATAAATCAGCCTTCTGAGAGAAATGGAGTCAAGCCTCTTGTTCCCACACTTGGATGGTTCACCGCAACACACAGGTTGTGCTTGTAGAACCTAAATAAACTTTACTTAAATGGAAAAACCACACAGCACTGGGGAATGTTGTGTTTTACACAGCTTCCTCTGCCTGCCTGCTGTGTGTAAACACAGATGGCTGTTGAATCCCTGTACTAGCTGGTGAAATACCTGCCTTCAGGACAGTGGAGTTTTAAGATCTCTGGGGAGAAACTGTTTTTAGTCTCCTGCTGATCAGGTTTTTGCTACTCAGGCAGTCTGATCGCAGCAGGGGACCAGAAATTGTGCCTGGGACACAATAGTCTCCTGCAAGGCATAATGCAAGGGAATGCTGGATTGCTGGGATCTCCTCTTGCTGTCACAAGGGGGATTCAGAAGCAGATAGGTTGTGCTAAGCAAAACATTTTTGTTGACACTGAGATGTTCATCTTCCAGATGTGAAGATCCCAAGCCTTCGTCTCCTGCTGATCAGGTTTTTGCTACTCAGGCAGCCTGATCGCAGCAGGGGACCAGAAATTGTGCCTGGGACACAATAGTCTCCTGCAAGGCATAATGCAAGGGAATGCTGGATTGCTGGGATCTCCTCTTGCTGTCACAGTATGGTCCTGGGATTCAGAAGCAGATAGGTTGTGCTAAGCAAAACATTGTTGTTGACACAGATGTCCATCTTCCAGATGTGAAGATCCCAAGCTTCTTTTCTTGCTTAGATAATACATTCTCACATGGAGCAGTTTTCATGGATGGCTTATCTGTGTGTAACAGACCTACCAGACAGCTCTGAGGTGCAGCCTTGTGCCAGCTGAGCCTAAATTGCTTGTGCAGGTTCCTGGTAGCAAGCTGGGCCTGGGACTGTGCCTGCTCCTGCACACGGGGCTCCCCAGGGCTCTCCTGCTGCCTTGAAGAACCACCTCCTCTGTAGGGCGTGTTGCCATCCATGCTGCTGACTGCTGCCCCAGCTGTGAGAAGAGATAGCAGACAAGCTCTCTCACCCTTCTGGGTGGTAGAAGGTGGGGAAGATTGAAAGTTTAAAGGCACTGTGGTCGTAACAAAACATTGAGTTACAGATCTCCCTTCCTCATTAAAAATGGGCAAACACTTTGCTTGCTTTTTTAACGAGTTTTGTTCCGCACATAAGCACTGACACCAGACTGGAACAGGAAGGATTCCTCATCCCACACAGGCACATATATATGTGTACTTTTGTGAACTCCATGTGGGTTTCTTGAATATGCTTATCCCTTCTGGCTTTGCTGCTTGTTTCAAAATAGCAAGCTGATTGTCCACATTGCAGTTTCTTAATTTGTGATTTTAGCACTGTAAAATGCTTTAGGAGTTTTTATCAGAATGCATTAAGGAGTTTTAATAAAAATGACAAAATCCTAGTGAGAGGTTAAAATGAGACCTCTGCAAGTTTTTGTAACAGGTTAGGCAATTCTAACTTTGTAGAACTAGAAATAAATTTGCAAAAATATGTTTTCCCAAAACGTGTAAAAAGAATAACAAGCCTTTGAAACACAAGCCAAAATGGAATTTACAGGGAGGCACAGTAACATTAGTGCAGTTTCACTGAAAGTGGGTTGATCTTCATAGCTCTTCTTTGCCTTCTGCAGGGGCGCTACATGATCTGATCTCTTGGGTGACACCCACTGTCACGTTTGGTGGGGAAGATACTGCCTGAAAGGCTTTCTGCCTTTCACACAACCCAACCCCTTCATTGCAGAGCTGTCCTGGCAGCACAGAACACCTCCTCTGCACCCTGTGAGGAGCCCTCTCCCCCAG